GGTCTAGTACAGGGGTTATTACGCTTAGTATACAAGTTGGAGAGATGTTGCGATTGTAAGGTTTAGGGTATGGAAGGGTTTAGCACCGGGGTTATTAGGGTATTAGGGTTAGTTGAGGTAGTATAGACGTGGAAGAGGGGTTGTGATTTTAGGGTTTAGGGTATGGAAAGGTCTAGTACAGGGGTTATTAGGTTTAGTATAGAAGTTGAAGAGGGGTTGCGATTGTAGGGCTTAGGGTATGGAAGGGTGTAGTACAGGGACCATAAATCCCAGCACTTTCACTGCCTATCAACATACTTGTAAACATCTTCTCTTTTTCGTCGGCAACAGCACCAAAATGTCCGAGGCGGGGCAGCCCATAGGGAGACGCAGCGGCTTTGTGTTTGCCGGCTCCCACAGCCAGGCCTCACTTGGTCGGGCCGGGGGTTTGGGGGTTTGGGGTTGGATACTGTAGGGGCCTAAAGAATTACTTATATTATTTTTAAAATTTGTATTATACTTATAGTTTTATAATGGGCCCCAAAACCCTATTCTTATTATAGAGGCCCCTACATTAGTTGAGGCTTGAGTGCATGAATGGCGTACGGCCTTCAGGGTTTGGGGGTAAAGGGATAGTTCTCTTTGGGCTGAGGGTCACGCATCTGTCCCAAAGCCCTTCAGGCTCCAACTTCCTCCCCCCTAAACCCTAAACCCTAAACCCTAAACCCTAAACCCTAAACCCTAAACCCTAAACCCTAAACCCTAGCCTGCTTCGGTTGGTTTCGGGACCTCGGACTATAGGCCACTATGCCGGGGGGCCGAAAAGCAAGAGCACGACAGGGCTGTCCACAAGATATGTCTAAAGCTCCCGTACTGCCAAAAGCTGAGAAGTCTTGTGCCGACCTTATATTTAGGATCCTATTAGGTAACCCCAAAAAGGAACTACTGTGGGGCCTATGGGTATACCCTAAACCGAAAACCCAAGCAGGTGTCAGCCCCAAGCCCACCCTCCGCGACGCAAGCAGAATCTCAGTCTTTTTCTGGCAGCGACTTCTTTTCAAGCAGCTTTGAATTTGGCGCCGCTGCCACAAGAAACCATACTTTATCAGAGTTTCCGACTGTGAGTGTTTCTTACATAAGTCTTAAAAAGCACAGGCCAGCCAGGGTATAAGGACCCCTAATCCTAACTCCTAGAACCCCAACTTGCCCAAAAGAGCAGGGAAGCTGCATCTCCGATGCTTCCAGCGTCCACGACACCTAGACTTAGGGGCCTTGATAATTGGAATAGGGTGTTGGGCTATATTATGCCATAACTTTCATAAGGAACCCCCAAAACAGTATAGGTAATTACGAAGCCCCGACATTAGACGTAGTAGGTCGAGCTTAGGGTCTATAGGGTTAGTCGGGCCTCCCTATAGTCTCCATTGTAGTTCCTTTTTTTGGTTTAACCAAATATATTTATATTAAGGATTTTATAAGGTATCCCCCAAAAGGAACTCCAATGGAGACTATAGGTCGAGGCTTCAATCCTCTTTTCCTGAAGAGCCGGCCCTTCGGCGCAGATGCGGTGGACGAAACCTCTGCCACCACAGCACCACCGGAAGAAACGACGATAAGGCAACTGCAGTTTGGGAGGGTTGGGGGTTTAGGGTTTAGGGTTTAGGATTTAGGGTTTAGGGTTTAGGATTTGGGGTTTAGGGTTTAGGGTTTACGAAAGCTCAGTGTCACTGTGCGTCGCTCGGGGAATGTGGTTTAGTTTAGACTTGATCAGAGCCCGCAGAGTTGGAACATGCGTTGCGGATAATTCGTGCTTTGGATTCCTTACACTTTGCCTTAGGGGCAGGAGGATACTTACATTCCCACTGCGCGACATAGTGTTCGTCGGTATACGGAGGAAAAAGTTCTGATGCCTGCCAATTAGACATGGTTCGGCTTCTTCACAATTGTTTTTTCTCCGACATTTCGGGTATATGTGCCCTTAAATGAGGATCTCCTCGAGAATATATGAAGGTTTCCCCTTGCTGAGAAAATCCTATATGCAGGGGGCTGGCTGTGGCGAGATACATACATTACATGCATACTTGCATACATGCATACACGGAATCAGAACTCTTCTTGTAACACAGGGATGTCGAAGGAATGATGTGGTACCAGTACTGATGGAGGAGGTAGTATCCTGACTGGGTCCAGAACCGACTGACTTTACGCTGCCCCGAAACCTGGGACGAAAAGCGACGCAGCCACCTGAATAACCGAAGTCAGCTCCCCTGCCTGTCAGGGTTTGGGGGTGCAGAGTTCAGGCTTATCAGTTATCAGTCTTCTTTCTTTTAGCGTTGTGGGTTTAGGAGCTTAGAGCTTAGGCAGACTGACGGTAATCCGAAGCAGCCTGAAGGGGCGCCATGCTCTTCATACTTTGGAAGCCTGTGTCAAGTACGTTGTTTTTGTGTCGTCACCTGGAACAACACCCACCGAGATTCTCAAGGGCAGCCCTATACACGTTCGGGAAACCCTAATCTAAACCCGGGTGGATATATAGAGCCGTACAGCAAAGAGATCTGAAAACACTACACACCCCGAAACCCTACTCGAGTTCTCAAGGCTCCGACATCTGCCTCCTTTCAACCGTCGAAACCTTCAGAAATCCCTATCAAACCCCACCAAACACCCTTGTAAAGCCCTTCTAAGCCCCATAGAAACCTCTAAGACCTCTAAAAAGCAAACCTTCAGTCCCAAACCCTATAAATCCTAGACAAGCCCTTCTAGAAACCTCATAGACTAGAGCCCTTAAAGACCCCTTACTAGAACCCTTCTAGAAACCTCGTAGACTAGAGCCCCTATAAAGAGACCCTAAACCCTAAACCCTAAACCCTAAACCCTAAACCCTAAACCCTAAGCCCTTAAAGAGCCCTGTAGGAGCTCCAGCGCTGCAGTTCCGGTGCCGGCCCGGTCGCCGGGAAATGCCTCGAGCCGACTGAAGGTCTGCTGAGGGGGGCCCAGGTTTCTCGAAGGGTTTAGGGGTTTAGGGGTTTAGGGTTTAGGGTTTAGGGTTTAGGGGTTTAGGGGTTTAGGGTGTAGGGTTTAGGGTTTAGGGTTGTGAATCCTGTCAGGTGTCTGAAGC